GGCCGGGGCCAGGTTTGAACCCACTACCTCCAGTATATGGGGCCAGCGCCCTGCTCCTTTGAGCCACAGGTGCTGCCCTATTATTAATATATTTATTAGGTTTATTTATTGGTCTTAATTTTTAAAGTAGAGAGATATAACATAATACATATTTTTCTTTTATTGAAAAGTTTAAGTTAAGAGCTTTACTATGGCATCCTTGGTAGAGTGCCATAGCTATCACAGCTCACAGCAACCTCAGATTCCTGGTGTCAAGCGATTCTCTTGAGTCAGCCTCCCAATTAGCTGGGACTACAGGTGTCCACCACAACCCCCGATTATTTTTGTGGCAGTTGTCATTGTTGTTTAGCTGTCTTGGGCTGGGCTCAAACCTGTCAGCCTTGGTGCATGTGGCTGGCACTGTAACCACTGTGCTCTGGGCACTGAACCAAGGTTTAAGTTTTATTATTTTTAGTGATTTTTTTTACTTTAATGATTTCTCATCAAACCCTTTCCATGGTTAGTTTTTTATTGTACTGGCTTCATGAAGGTAGGAGGTAAAAACTTGTTAATCTAATTGTTTAAATGAGTTGTGTTACTTCTGGGAAGCTGGCATTTTTCTCTAGTCTTCCTGTTTTTCCCTCAAAATGTTTGCTAGACAAAAATACAATGTTCCTTAAAAGAATTGTATAACTAAAGAGATTGATGTAATTCTTTTCACCTTTTGAAATTGTGCAGAATGAGAACAGGTACATTTACTAATACAAAGGTCACACATTTTCTCCTTTTTTGATTTTAGATATGGACATGGTTATGAAATATTTTGTGTTGCTTGTAACAATTCAAAGACACTGCTTGCCTCGGCTTGTAAGGTAGGGAATTTTACTATTTAAAAAACATTTTACTTGAACTTTTTAAAAATTATTATTTTAGAAACTAGATTTCACTCTATTGCACAGTATAGAATGAAGTGGCACAATCATAGTTCACCGTAACCTTGAATTCTTGGGCTCAAGTGATCCTCCCATCTTAGCCTCCCAAAGTGCTGGGATTTCAGGTGTGAGCCACCATACCTGGCTGGGAATTTTACTCTTGATTCTGTTTGGGCATAGGTAATTTGGGTTATCAGACTTTTACAAGTTTGGTAATGATTTAGGCCAGTAGTTCTCAACCTTCCTAATGCTGTGGCCCTTTAATACAGTTCCTGTAGTAAAGGAACAGGTTGAGAACCACTGATTAGGCAGAAGTCTATATGAAAGGCCACTGGTGCCTGCTTTCTTTGAATCTTTGCAGTCTCACTTACCCTTCTGTCCCTTCAAAAGCTTGCACTTGCTTTTTATATCTATTTCAGAGGCACATTTTGAGCTTATTTGTGTCCTTGCTCAAAAATGATTTAATCAGATATCTTAAAATGATACCTAAAAATGTGATAAATGTTAATTAATTGAAGTCCTGGAAACACAGAGGAATGAGAAGATAAAGCCGATCAGACTTTTTTTTTTTTTGAGGACACTTTTGGCTCTGACCTAATGCATATCATTTCTATATTTGCCTAGGAGAATGACCTTGACCTCATAATTCAGTATTTACCTATATCCTTTGAATTATGGAGGATGGTCTGAAGGTTCTAAAACCCATACATTCCTCTTAAATACATTCCTCTTAAATTTTCTAAAATTTATTTACTTGTTTAAGTAAAATTGGTGTTAAGCACTGTACTCCTGGATAGACTCCTGTGTCTCTGGTTCTGCTGTGGGTCCTTGTCCCTGATTTGCAGTAAGAAGCATCATAAATAATACGGTGCTTCCACTCCCTCTCCCCTCACCTTCCACACGCTTATTCATTCTGTGAAGATGGTACTGAGAGCACTTCCTTCTGTTAGAGGGGCCTTGGGAAAGAGTGGAGTTTGAATGGCTGTGCTTCTACTGAGTGGCTGACTTGTTTTTAGCTTAGGACACTGTCAATCAAATTGATTATTTTAACCTTTTTAAGTTGGCTCTCTCCTAGCAAATTGGCTCTCTCTTTACTTAGGTGTTATGAACATACTACTAATTGTATGTTTAATGTGAACAATTTGATAGGTTTTGACATGTTTATGCCTGTAAAATCATTACTATAATCAAGATAATGAATATATCAACTGTCCCCCCCCAGTTTCCTATGCTGCTTGGTAATTCCTCTTTCCTATCCCCTTCCCTAGGAAACCAGTAGTCTGCTTTTTGCCATGATAGAGTGGTTTGTATTTTCTAAAATTTTATATAAATGCAATCAATCTACAGGGCATCCCAAAAGTTACCCTTAAAGGCACTGTACACAGGTTAACTCATTTATTCTAGCAAATTTATTGTAGATACTCTAGGATTTTCCACATAGATGCTTATGTTCCCTGTGAATAAAGAAAGTTTTATTTCTTCCTTTCCTGTATGGATATTTTAATGTTGAATAGAAATAGTAACAGCAGAAATCTTTACCTTGGTCCTTACGTTAGGAGTGAAAGTCTTTGTCCATTAAGAATTATGTGTCTCTTCTTTATTCAATTGTAGAAGTTTCCTACAATTCCTAGTTTTTAATTAGGAATGGGTTTTTTGTCAAATGTTTTTTTCTTCATCTCTCTCCTTTTTTGCTTATTAATATGGTAAATTATGTCAATGATTGTTCAAGTGATAAACTTTCTGTTCTAGAGTTAGGCCCCATGTGCTCATGGTGTATTATCTTTTAATAAAATATTAAATTCAACTTGCTGAAATTTAAAAAACTTTTACATCTAGTTATGAAGGATTTTGCTCTATAGTTTTCTTTCTTGATAATTGCTTTTTCTGGTTGTGGTGTCAAAGTAATGCTGGCCTCAGAAAGTATCTTCTGACCATGGCAAATTCTTGGAATAATTTTTGTAGAATTGGTATTATTTCTTTTTCAAATTATTGGTAGGGTTCCCAAGGGAAGCCAGCTGATTCTGGAGTTTTTTTTGTGGGAAGGTTTTTTTTTTTTTAGACAGTCTCACTGTGTTGCCCTCGGTAGAGTGCTGTGGCATCACCGCTCAGAGCAACATCAAATTCTTGGGCTTAAGTGATTCTCTTGCCTCAGCCTCCCGAGAAGCTGGGACTACAGGTGCCCCCCAAAATGCCCAGATAGTTTTTGATGTAGTTGTCATTGTTGTTTAGCAGGCCCAGGCCGGGTTTGAACCCAACAGCCCCCCGTGTATGTGGCTGTGCCCTAGCCACCAAGCTATGAGCTATGGGCACTGAGCCAGTGTGGGAAGGTTTTTAACTACATGTAGTTTCTTTCATATAATAGAAATAAGACTATTTAAGTTCATTTTGGTAGATTGTATCTTACAGAAAATTTGTTCCTTCATCTTAGTTGTTAAATTTATTGGCAAAAATTTTTCAATCATACTCTCTTATAATTCTTTTAATATTTATAGAATCTCTAGTAATGCCACCTTTCTTACTCCTGCTGTTGGCAATTTGTGCCTTCTCTCTCTCTCTCCCCCACCCCCAACTTTCCCTGTTTTGTTTTTTTCTTTTTTCCTTTTGTGAAGGGTGTATTCTGGAGATTGAACAATAAATTGGTAATTTTATTGATATTTTTGGAGAACCAGGTTTTGGTTTTTTATTGGTTTTCCTGTATTGTTTTTCTTGTTTCTATTCCATTGATTTTTGTTCTGTTTTTACTTCCTTTCTTCTCCTTAGGTTACACATCCTCTTCTGTTTCTAATTTAATAAGTTTAAAGCTGAGGTCATTGACATCAAATTTTTCTTTTTACTATAGATAATTAGTGCTATAAATTTCCTCTAAGTATTATGTTTGAGGCATTGTACAAGTTGCAATATGTTGTATTTTTATTTCCATTCAATTAAAAATACATTCTAAATCCCCTTTTGATTTTTGTCTTTCACCTGTGGGCTGTTTTCACCCATATTACTTGGTTTCCACAAACTGGATGTTTCCCAGAAATTTTTCTGGAACTGACTTCTAATTTAATTTCACTGTGGTCAGAGAACATAGTATGGCTTGAATCTTTTGAAATTTAATCCTAATAAGTTTCCACGGGCACATGAATATGTATTCTGTTTCTGTTCAGTGGGGTTTTCTGTAAAATGAATTACATCGGATTGATTGATGATAGTATTAATTCTTTATCCTTCAGTTTAATTGAAAGTAGCATTTTGAAATCTCTGGCTATTATTGTGAACTTATCTGTTTATCCTTGCAGTTCAACAAGTTTGTACTTTTATGTACTTTGAAGCCTTGTTGTTAGGTGCATAAACATTTATGATTGATATGTCCCCTTAATTGGCATGTCTATTACTCTGAAATTAGCTTTTTTAATTTCTGGTAATATTTTGTTTTCTGAAATCTTCTATAATGATAACAGATACTCTGGCTTCCTTTTGAGTTAGGTCGATCTTGCTTTTTTATCTGTTTTATTTTATTTTTTAATTTAATTTAATTTTTATTTTATTGGACAGAATCTCACTTTTTTGCCCTAGTAGAATGCATGGCATCATAGCCCACAGCAACCTCAAACTCCTGGGCTCAAGTGATCCTCTTGCCCCAGCCTCCCCAAGTAGCTGGGAGTACAGGCACGTGCCTGGCTATTTTTTGAGACAGACAGGGTCTGCCTCTTGCTCAGGCTGGTCTAGAACTCCTGAGCTCAATCCAATCCACCCACCTCAGCCTCCCAGATTGCTAGGATTACAGGCATGAGCCACTGAACCTGGCCCTTGGCCCCTTTTTCATTAATTTAAGCAGTCTTTTGTGATTCCACCTAATTTTTTCTGTTGGTTAGTATATAAAAGTCTGTTGTGTTATTCTACTGATTGTTTTAAATTTTTTTAGTGTATATCTTTAATTTATCACAGTCTCCCTTTAAGTAATATTGTACTGGTGACCCCTCAACAGTCTGGGCGTTAGGGGACCCGACCTCTTGTGCAGTCAAAAATCCATGTATAATTTTCACTTCCCCAAAACTTAACTATCAAAAAACTACTATGGACCAGAAGCCTTGCTAACAGCATAAACTGTTGATTAACACACGTTTTGTATGTTATATGTATTATACTGCATTCTTAAAGTAGGCTCAATAAAAGGAAATGTTATTAAGAATATTATAAGAGAAAATATATTTATTATACATAAAGTGGAAGTGGGTCATCATAAGGTGTTTATCCTCATCATCTTCACGTTGAGTAGGCATAGGCTAAGGAATGGAGAGTTTGGCCTTGCTGTCTTAGAGGTAGCAAAAGGGGAAGAAAATCCATTTATAAGTGGGCTTGTGCAGTTGAACCCATGTTGTTCAACAGTCAGCTGTATACTTCAGTTACAATTTAAGAACTTTATGAAAGTATGCTTTCATTTCTCCCTGCTTTGTGGAATTTTTTGTACATTTTATTCTTTATAGAAATCCTACAATATTTTGTTGTAATTTTTGTTTTAAGCAGCCAGTTATCTTTAATGAGATTTAAATAATGAAAAATTTTCCATCAGATACCATTTTTTTTTTTTTTTTTT